CACATTTCCAATCTTAGTTTATTAACTGGCAGTTTTCCCTCACCATGAAAACAGACAGCTGTCATGGTTTCGTTAAATTGAAATCTATGGCAACTAATCATGTCACTTATTTAAATGCTGTCTACCATATTTCTGTTCACAAGGACAGTCTGATTTTATTTACCTTCAATACAGTACCTCACAATTGTAAAACTATCTCACATGCATTTTGATGCTATAAAATAACACTGTAATCCATCTTGTAGTGCAAGTTCCATATCAGTACACCCTTCCTAACCACACAAGAACTTGAAAAAGAAAAATTCTTTTCTACAAAACAGCGTGTTTAATACTGATTATTAACAGATACTGACCTTCTGCCCACTCACCCACAGATGATCAGCCCACTTGCGCATCACCTCATTGGTTTCATGGGTTGGCAATACTGACTTTGCCAACCATACAGCTGATTCCCATTGGCTGTAGGAAAGCAAATAGCGACAAGCATCTAGACCCTTTCCAATTAAACACAGCAGTTGCACGCCCTCTGAGATATTTCCGTTGGCAATAAGGTTTGTTGCCACTAACTTGATAGTGCTTTGTGCTGCTCCTGTTGACTGGATTGTTGCAATCAAACATGCCCTGAAAGATTAAATAAAACTACAAACTTAAATCAGTCCTTAACAGTCACCACAATGGTTCACTATACATTCAAAGACATGACAGAATGTGAGAAGAAAGAAAGATAAACTTTCAAAAGAGAACCAGTATAATGCAGATAAATGTTTTACATCTTACTTGATGGCATCAGTGTAGTAGCTAGAATTCTCTATTTCTGTCTCCAGCAGCAACTGCACAGCACGGTCCATCTCTCCTAAAAGAAGCAGCTGTTCTATCACCTTCTTGGTATGTTGGTAGTCCCCTCGTTTGCTCTCATGTAGATTTACTCGTTCCAGCTGCAGTCTCTGTTGGCAAAGTATTTGTAACAATACATGGTGCTATAACTCAGAAGACAGCCATCTTCAAACTCACCATGATAACCTCAAATGCTACTGTTATGTATTTGGTTCCCATCTTGTCACTTCCATGTGGGAGCAGTCTCATTTTTCAAAAGTATCTTCAAAAGTTCTAACATGACTGTGATTCATTTATATTTTCTTTAGTTCAAAGCTCTCACTAGTTATGTGGATTATCTGTTGTTTTCTTTCTTTCAATTTTTTCCCCTTCCATATTTGTCTACATGGAGCTACATACCCACAAATCAAGATGAGTAACACCTCCTCCAACAGTTCCAAAATGAGTTAAATTAACCAGATTTAGAATCATTTTGAATGCCTACTCCAATCATTCTCGAGAGAGTCAAGGGCTTCTTACACTATGTCCTCACCTGGTAAGTGTATGGATCACACAGAATATCATAGCATGCATCCAGAGGTTGAAGGTGGGGGTATCTGTTAATCCTTTTTGTGTCAAGCACTGATGGTAAGCCTGTATTTTGAAAGTCATCTGCTGCTGCTGCTTGGTCCACAAACACTGCTTTGCTGTGAACATAAAGTTTCTCAGTCACCTCATAAAAAGCCAGAATAACTAATCTCCAAAATATAATAGCAAGAACATAAGAAATGTATGTACAGCATAACAACTCTAGCATGTTCACAAGGATTTTACTTCTGTGAACAGTGCTAGTGAAGTCAGAGTTATCTAGGATCGAAGAGGTATGTGTTGGCACTAGTCTGGCTGGATGAAGGCATCAAAGAGCATAGATACTCTATGTGGTTAGGAATTCCCCACTTGGAGATTCCCTATTCATTCACTACTGAGTGCATAAATACATCTCAGCCTTCATGTAAATTACTTGTTATTGTTATCTGCTTTTAACCAAAACTGAAATGCATCAATAATTTTTTATAAGACTCTCCAATATCAAATTTCATAAAAATCAGTTCAGTGGTTGAATTCTTATATGTGGACAGATAGACATTGCAGATAAAATTAGGATCTGAAACGTAGCATACATGTAAAGGATTAGGTATCTGAAAAAGTAAAAATCCCAGAAAAGTGGCATACATTCAAATCTAAAGTAATTCTTTGGAGATTACTTCATTTTCTCACATTATAAATAGGGCATCAGAAAGAATATGGCAAAGGTCAAAAATGTTTGTCTTCACAAGAATGTTCCTGAAGAAGCTTGTTCTGTTTCCAATATCAGGCACAGAGTGACCAGAGAAAAAAGTGGTAAAGAACTTTATTTTTATTACATTTTCATACCTGCTTCATAAATTAGAATAAAACTATTTGAAATTATAAATTCAGCCAAAGGGTGCTTATATTTATCTAATAATCCATAACAGAATAATTTTAAGGGAATAAAAATGTTTATTTTTATATCAATATTATAAAAAATTATCCAAATAAAAATTCTGTCACCTGTTCCTAGTCTCCAACTTAGAAACTTGCAGATAGTAAAGTGCCACTGTCCAAAAGTCCACCTCAGCCTCCTCACCAAACAGCTGTGCAACTACCAAACTTCGCTCAGCTGTACCCAATGGACACAGCCGCAGGTACTCAAGTTTCTCTTCATCCATCAGATCCAGCTGTTCTTTCATGACTACATGCACAAAAACAAATAACTGCTGTGTATGGTAATAAGACATTTATTCACACCCTTGGGGCTTTACCACCCAGGCCTTTTCCCAGAATACTTGCATCCTGGGGTCAAGCCCCATGCACTGTTGCTCCTGCACCCAGGACTTTGTCCACCAGGCATGATCCCATGGTCTTGGCCCAACTTGGACTCACTTACTTTGGTGATTTGTGAGAGTATGGGTCAAGAAACACTGCTGAAAGAAGACAATATTAGATATTCCATCATCAGATATTTTTATGACCATTTATCTTCCCCTTCCCTACTACGTAACTTGTACAACGTATCATTACCAGAATTTCCCACATAGCCAGTAGGTATCAAGGCAAAACAATAGAGAATGATCTATTACAAGTGGGGAAAATCTTTCAGTGGTGATCACTCATCCCAGTGAAGGAAATTTTATACTGCTAAAAGAGGCCAAATTTAAAGAATTTAACAAACAAAACATGTTCTGGTGGACAGATTGACAATAGTTATGTATTTATCACAAGCCATGTGAACAGTTACATTCATTATAACTTTCCTACCTTGCAGCTCCTGCTCTGAGAAGCCATCTTCAGTAGAAAAATCCAGTGAGTATGTGTCCTGCCAGAACTGCGTAGACAGCAGCAGCTTAAGATTAGCGGGTAACAAAGATGGGCAGAACACCGGATCTGCAATTATGGAAATTCACTCACTTCCAAATACAATGGTCCACTAAATAGATAATTATTTTCATATTATGACTACTTTGATAAATTAAATGGGCAAACCACTGATATACAAAATTAAACTGATTTTGAATCAGCTAAACAACATAAAAATATCATACCTCTCTTGTGTACCAAACATAAACAATGAAACCTGTTTAAACACAGAAATTAATCACCACTAAACCTACAGCAAGTGTCATTGTCAGTGATTATGTTAATCTCTTTCATCCTGACAGATACAGTGCAACACATGACAACCTAGGGTTCAGGTGTCTGCTATCAATTTGCTAACTTTTATTTATTTTGTGGAAAATCACCTGTATGACTGCATGTTCATGCTCCATACTGCAATGCACCTCCCACCATCATGTTCATGACTAAAACCTTGAAACAAGTGACTACCAAACTTATAGGTTTGAATGACCTCATCAAATCACTAAGTATAATTAACTTTAACAATTTTGTAATTGCAGCAATAGATATTCTTTATAAGTGTACGACACACTTCTAGACTTCAAACCAGACTGAAAAGGCATACTCTTTGGAGTACATCAACATTCCAAAGGTGTTCTTCATGCCATACTGTGTAAGACGTTTTTGCACGAAAATGGTTGCAAGTCATTGTTGTGTCCTAGGTCATTCTTGCACTAATACTATACAAGGTCACTGTTGTTTCTTAGGCAATTCTTTGACTAATGTGAGCACACATCATCATTGCACAAACATATTTTCCAACAAGAGAAAAATCATTTTTGTTTCAATGTAATCTGAGATCCCACTGTTGTGCAACAATTGATACCAGCGATAGGTATTGTTTGAGCCCACTGTTGCCCAACGAGGGAGTAAATCATGTCGGCAGACAGACAAACAGACAACCTAAGGCATGAAGAACACCTAATAACACAATTTGCAGTATAGCCTTGTTATTGGTAATAGCTCACACCTTGAAGTTCATAATCCATGAGTGGAGAATAACTTGTAGACAGAGTCATGTCCATTATCCTCAGACACCCATCCTGAGTGGCCAACACTGGTTTGTCTGATGCAGCCCAGTCTATGTCTAAAACTTTAACCATATCTTTGGGACATTTCAGCTGTGAGATTCTTTCATATTGCTGCAAGGAGGAATTTTCAACAATACTACAAAAGGGACAAAGGATAAAAATACATAATATCCACAGCTACAAGAGCACTTAAATTGGAAATTAAAAGAAGATCTCTGGCATGATATCAAAAGGAAAGAGAATGTATTGTGTCAAAAATATATGGTAAATGTTTGATATTTTGGAAGAGACTTGCGAAATTTGCGAAAGCACCCTTTCTTCACCCAGGCTTATCTTAAAATAAACTGTAATGAAATAATAAAACTGTTTGCTTAGTACAACATCCTTAAAATTACATATTTCCATTGACCAAACAAAATTTAATGAAAATTTCCAAAACTGAACTGAAAAATGATTTTACTTCTTTATTATGACAATGTTACATACATGTGCCCATGTGTACATACACACTGCCCAATGTTCTGCTAAGCTTATTATGACTGTCTTAGTGACTTATGTTTGAGAAATAGGATCTATAGAATAAATTACTACAACATAAATGAGTAATTTTGAAGAAACATTCCATTCACTAAAACAAAAATTTAGGATGCATGGCTTGTAGCTTCTGCAGTGATTGAACTCAATAAAATTAGGATTTTCTTTAACTTTTCTGTGTAGCGGTTACTAAATCCACTGAGCAAGGACCTTCCTGAGAAACTGATAGCTGCACAGCTGATCAAGAAACTTCCCACCTTTTATAAAGATTGCCATGTTCGCAAGATTCCAACAATGGACCATACACTGGACCAGATTCAGTCCATAACCTTTGAATGTTCTTTTCAATTTATGTCCAAGACTCCACGTGATCTTTTCCCTTCAAGCTTTCTGACCAGAATTTTATATGCATTTCTCATCTTGTCTTTCAAGCTACATGTTCCACACATCCCATCTTCCATCATTACAAAAAACATCATTTAAATTCAATAATAGAACAGGATGGACACCTTTGCATAAAGATTTCTTGGCATAAGTCATATTACTCTTGTACATCAATTGATTTCATTTACTCTCAAGATAGCCTTCAAGACCCTATGGTTAAGTTCATCAACAAAAGACTGCCCCTACAATATTTATTACTGAGCATTAAATAAAAGTACAAATACAATTACTAGTTAATTTAATTAAATATATTCCTTGATTGCATCTTCAACTGAAAATTCAGTTACATATGCTATGACATCTATTATTTTGGTCACAAATCTGAAGAAAAGAAATCATTTCCAACACTAGGGGTAGACTGAAGAATAACAGCAACATGCATTTTCAGGAACTAGGGTGGAGCCAGAATAATTTATCTGGCTCTGGGTGGGGTCCAATGGCAGGTTCTTATAAACATAGGGGAATGAATCTTCAGGCTCCATAAAATTATGACTGGCCGACTGACCATCAGATTCTTAAGCATTCTATTCCAAGAAGTCAGATTCTTGTAGGGACTTCATATGCACAAGACATTATCCATTACTAAATTAAACATATCTCTTGCAACAAGTGAATTAAGAAGAAAATCATGTACCTTCTTCACCTCCTTCAAGTCAACAACGTCAACACCATCACTGTAGAGAATAAGGAGCTTGAGATTTCCTTTTCCTGGAGCAAATCGCATCTTCTTGATCCATCCACAACCTGTGTGTATATTCTTGGAAGTGTGGGCCTTCAAGTCCCAAATGTTTAGCATCCCATTCACATCACCTTGTACAATCTGATCATTTTTAAATGCTATACATGTGACTGTTCCAAACCCAGACTGAAACAAAGTGAAAAAATTTCTGGCAGTTTTAACCACAACTTTTCCTTTATACAAAACCTAATCATTTACTCAACATTCTTGCAATTTGGTAATTTCATATACTTCTTCAATGTCACCTGAGTAAATTAATTGGTGACTGGATAAAAACACTTTTAACGAAAAATGTTAAATCATTTTAACAAGACATTCCATTTATGTGTCTGTGGATCCTAAGTATTTTAGTCCATCTTGTTTATTTATGCTACTTATCTTAATACATTTATTTTTATAAGATTTGAAGCATTAACCATTATCTTAATGACTACTGATAAGTTTCAGCTTTAGGATTTTTGTGACTACTACATAAATTAACTTTCTTCCTCAGTCATTGTTTTTATATATACCAATGGAAATTAAATTTGCACATACTAAATATAAAACACTAATAAATAACCTTCAGTAAGAATAAACTGAAATACTGTACCTCAGGTGGCATTTTGATGCCATCACGAACAACGTTTCCTTCGACAGAAAAATGATAAAGCCGACTTTCTGAATCACTGAATACAAAATGTTCCCTGGCAACCAATTGTTTATCAGTGTTTTCTCCTCTACCTGCAACAAGTTCCTATATTACAACATGTTCACTGCATAATGTTAAGGCAACGTAAAGCATCATTTGAAGAGACTCACCAAGCTCACCACCAGGAGCACTGATCGCCAAAGTCGTAGGTTCAGTCTGCTCCTTCTCTTCCACTGAAGCCAATTTCTTCTTCAAGGACTTAAGGTTGTGGATTGGAGACCATTCCTACAGATTTAATTTTAAGGTTTAACCATAGTAGTGGTAATACA